TTCCAAATATTCAGGAGGTTGAAATCATATTTTAGATCATCATATTTAAAAATCCTTTCTCACATTCAAATCAGACACACACACACTCCTGAAAGCCCGTCGTGCCTGCGTCCAGCACCCCCAGGGCAGTGCGACAGCCACTTTTCTGTGATGTGCTCCTCAGCACCAGTAAATGTCCCTTTGGGTTTTTTGTTGTTGTTGTTCAAGTGAGTTTGAGTTTTAGTTCTCTCAGCTATAAATTGGAAAGTCCTAACTAATATAGTAGTAGTATCTCTTCTTATAGAAAATTTGAAGTTCAGAGGATTAAATAACTTGTCCAAGAAACTGCAATAAGTGTCAAGGCTGGAATGTGAACCTGAGTGTGTCAATTCCACAAGTTACATGTTGCTTTTACTACTGAGTGTGTCCCAAACCCATCTGTGCATCATAATCTCCTGGGCTGCTTCTGGAAAAATAGATATTCTCAGGCCACATGCCAGGCAAGCCCTATTCTCAACCAACCAGAATCTCTGGGAATGGGCCTCAGTGGTCAATGTTTTAATGTATTTATCCCCTTGGTCACCATTCCCTACATAGGCAGCCATTCCAATGGATTGATATATCTTTTTGTTTGTTTCTCTACCATACATGTATTACTGTTCTGTGTGAGTACTAATTAATCACTCACACTATTATTACTAATGGTAAGTGATACGGAGTTTTTCATGTGTCAGGCACTGCTCTAAGCATTTTACATATATTGACTAATGTAATCCTCATAACCCTGCGATGTATATGCCATTATTTCCCCATTTCCTCTTCTGAAACAGACGAGAGAAAGACACAGAGGGTTAGATCATGTGCCCATTGCCACGCAGCCGTTATGTAAGGAGCCAGGATTTGAACCCGGGTAGAGCCTATCCTCTTCGCTCTGCTCCACACTAAACTGCCTCCCACAATATGGACAGATTATTATCCCACAGAGCCTACCCAGGGCTTCATCAGGGATTGGGTTGATGTGGGCGGGAGTACTTGAGGGGCTTGGAGCTGTGGCTGGTCACCAGCTGAACAGCTGGTATGGTCTGAATACTACCACTGGGCCTGACCTGACTGAGGAATCTGTAGTGGTTCCCTGTTACCATGCTGAGGCAGGCTGTATGATTTAGTTACAATTATTTACTTCCCCTCTAAGCAGGGCTTGCCTGTAGGTGGCGTACATTTCTCTGCCCTGTTGACTTTGAGCTCTGCTGCAGGACATGCTTTGACAACAAATGTGCATGTCACTGTGAGTGGCAGCACGTGTTTCTGCTCACCAGTCTTGGGCTTTGACTCTCTGCCCTGAGAGAGAGACTTGCCCAGACAGTGGCAGCTCCTTCAGTGTGGCACCCAGACCTAGCCTGCAGTCAGTGGTGTGCTGGCAAATGTTTAACACCTGCCTCTCCCAGGAAAAACTGACATGGTTTGTACAATTTGCTCGCTTGCTGCATTTGCTGAATCACCATCAGTGTGAAGTCATGGAACATGGAGGTGGGAAGTGATGACACAACAGCCCCCAGCAGCCGTGGAGCCACGGCCAGACCATTCCACCTGAGGTCTGCAGCAGAGTTGCCACAGTCGCCCAGGCCCACAAATGGGTTGATTTAAGCCTCTACAGGATTTAGGGGTGTTTTCATGTGGTTATTATCACAGCAAACACAGACAAACACACATTTTATTTTGTAAATTCAGACCTTCTCTAGCTGACTGTACTTGTATTTTGCAAACATTATCTTGTCCTATTACCAAATAAAAACTCTCTGATCTACTGGGGCTGATTTCCTGTCTATTTCAACCTTCAAACTTTTGAATGCACTCATTTGTATTTTAAAGAAAATGCTTTTCACTTCCCTACATCTGGAATGGAGTGTAATAAAATATAGTGAACTAGGAGTTGTGAAATTAATTTTCTAGCCCTGGCTCAAACACAAATTTGCTGTATGATTTTAGATGTTGCTTGATTTCTCTAGGTTTCAGTTTCCTCAAGTAACATGAGGGTTTTATTAAGCGATTCACCCTCTTAAATCTCAAATTCTCTGAAGTTCTATTTTCTGTGCAGGACTGTACAGGGTTAGAAATCTTGATTCTCATTTGATTTTTAGAATAGGGTTTTTATGTAAATGCATGTATGGGACAAAAGTGCTTGGTTAGGAGACAACAGTCTACAGATAGCGTGGCAACAGCCCATCTAATCAATTCTAATCACTGCTTAGGTATGGAACTGTATACTTTAATGATTTTAGAGCTAACAGGTGGTTGTCATATGGATCCTATTAAGAGATTTTAAGAATTGCTGAAGGGAAAGATGTAAAAAAAAGTTTGCTAGGGGCATGCTGTCTGTTGGTGGGAACTTTAGAGATAATTATACTTAGATTTCATTATAAGAATGCAACTTTTGCTTATATCATCTAAGCAGAGGTTGTATTTTAGATAATGATAGCAGTTTAACTAACTTAGCTTTTCACCAATTATACTTTGGAATGTCACATTGTTAATTTTACTGACATTACTAGTTTCCATTGTTTAACCTATACTTAGCCATAGATAACTTTTGTCACACTGCCCCCCCCCATGTCTTTGTGTCCTTTTGAAATGATTGACTCAACTGACTTTTCTTGTGAAACTTCCTTGTCTTGACAATAAAAAACAAGCTAACTTTGAATTGGGGCTGTACCCAGTTTTCTCCTTCTAACAGAGGAGTTGCTGAGGTGCAGTCCCTTTGGGCTTCTCATTGCATTCATGGTGCTTTGAGTAATCCTTTTTTGCATCTCTGTTACACAGAGAGAAGTGTAACACAGGACCACTTCTCCCATAAAGCTTTCTCCAGTGCTTGTGTTACTCTCTTCCTACTGTGAACTTCTTTAAGCCTTATTATTCATATCAAAATTTAGCTTGCCATTTATAATGGAGTCATATATATATATACTCCATTGGGGCTGTACCCAGTTTTCTCCTTCTAACAGAGGAGTTGCTGAGGTGCAGTCCCTTTGGGCTTCTCATTGCATTCATGGTGCTTTGAGTAATCCTTTTTTGCATCTCTGTTACACAGAGAGAAGTGTAACACAGGACCACTTCTCCCATAAAGCTTTCTCCAGTGCTTGTGTTACTCTCTTCCTACTGTGAACTTCTTTAAGCCTTATTATTCATATCAAAATTTAGCTTGCCATTTATAATGGAGTCATATATATATATATATATATATATAGTGTGTGTGTGTGTGTGTGTGTGTGTGTGTGTCCTTCCTGTTTCAAATTTTTTTTTTTCCTCTTTCAGAGGCCCCTGTTTCCTCTGAGGCCTGCGCTATTAGACAGTATTAGGTACTGCTTCTCCAAGCAGTTGTCTTTTACTGACCTCTCAATAATTCTTTTTATTCGCTGGAGATTTTGACACCTGATTGGTCTTCTACTTCATCTTTCCTGCGACATCTTCTGACAGTCCATCCAACACCCTGTCCTCTCTGATTCTCCATCACACTGTTTCTTCATTTTTTCCTCTTTTTCAACTCAGAAACTTCCATGGTCATATTTTTTATTGTCAACACCAATAATTTTGATCCCTTTCAAAATCTCTGTTTCAAGCATCCCTTTCTAGATCACCACCCCTATCTTTCTAGCTTATGACTCTCTCATCTCCAGCAGGCAATTATTTGACCTCACTGAGGTCTCTGATCAACAGACACTATCACGTTACATAATCACTCCT